TATATATATGTACAGAGAAATTGAGATCAGTAAAAATAACACCTACCTATGTAAATATGTCCTTATATGGTTTAAAGTAATGTAAATACTATTTAAAATATAATAATTAATAACCGTTAATATACTTACTTCCAAAAGCTGGCCAAGAGAGGAAGAAGTCATGATATTATAGTTGTAGGTGAACTGGCGTTTGGCGTTAAATATAAAATGCACAATTACACAATAATCACTGTACTGAGACAATAAGTGAAAAATTTAAAAGACGAACAACGAGAACAAAAATACTGCGAATATCAAAAATATTAACAAAAGAAATACACAAACTAATAATGTTATTTATTTATAATTTATATATATAAACAAGAACACAGCACACTATCAATTATCATATCAACTAGGCTAATCACAACAACGTGCATCGATATTTATTTTAAGAGTAAAAATAATTCAGAATAACTCATTAACTTGTAGTCATTTTAATCCTCAAAACATGTTAAATTAAATAACCTGGATTCTCAAAATAACAATTTTTATGAGTTATTTCAATACCTTCAAATAGTTAAAATATTATATTTAGATCAACGCTCTATTGCAGTTGATTTAACCTACAAATGCATTTTACTCCAATTATAATGCTTGACAACATGGTATGTAGTTAAAACAATTGTCCCATTTCTATGCGTGTAATACATGATAAAATGTATGTCCATTGAAATGGCCTGTGGGAATATCGGGTAAATTACAATTATAGTTTATAACGGTTTGGGTTTTTTTTTAGAATTTGATCTTTGTGGTATTGTCATCAATATCGTATGACGTAATTATCGTAATAATATAAAAAAAAATATGTGTTTAGTTTATATTCAGTATCAGTACCGTCTGTATTCGCTCGCATGTCACGTTTTTTTATTATTATTTCAAGTTTTTATATACTATGGCGTTAAACGAAAAACAAATTCTAAGCTTTTTAGATAACGGAACAGTTAATGATATAGATATATTAAATAGTGAGTCAGAGAATGAACTCGAAAATTTATTAAATAAATTTGCGAATGATGATTTCTCTGCAGAACTCGATAATGAAATGCTGGCTAATACAGAAATAGACTTACTCGAAGAAGACGACCAAACAACAAATGCAACTCAACAGTCTGGAAATGAAGTCTTTGATATAACACCAGTGCAGTTTCCATTTGTCCAAAAAAAAAGATATCAAATGGGTAAATAAACCATTTCAAGAGCCGTATATACATCTAACAGATTTAGAACCAATAGATTGTCCCTCCACTATACCACAACCGTACGAATATTTCACTAAATATTTTAACCAAAAAATATTCGAAGACATATCATTTAATACAAATTTATATGCAGTTCAAAATAATGACTTTTCTTTTAAACCTACATCACATTTGGAAATAAGATCATTTATTGCAATACAAATGATGATGGGTGTTTTGAAGTACCCTAGGATCGGGATATACTGGGAAGAAAAATTTCGTGTGAATTTAATTGCTGATACAATGCCCAGAAATAGATTTTATTCTATTCGACAAAATATTCATATCATTAACAACATGGATATTCCTTGTAATAATACCGATAAATTTGTGAAAATTCGTCCATTATTTGATGCTTTAAATAATCGATGTAGACAATTACCAGTAGAAAGAAACCTTAGTGTTGATGAACAAATAGTTCCTTTTAAAGGCCAATTGATTGTAAAACAATATATGAAAGGGAAACTGAATCCATGGGGCATTAAAATATTTTTACTTTGTGGTCAAAGTGGCATTGTCTATAACATGATTCTTTATCAAGGAACTTCAATTAATATTAACAAGGATCTACAAAAAAATTTTGGTCTAGGTGGAGCAGTTGTCCTCGATCTCACTAAACATCTTACGCCAAATCGACATTTTCTTTCCTTCGATAATTATTTTTCTTCGTATAATTTATTTTATGCACTCACTGCACGTCAAATATATGCAGCAGGCACAATTCGAATAAATCAATTTTTTAGTCCACCAGTTTTATCCGATAAAGTTATTATGAAAATGGGGAGAGGAACTTCTTATGAAGTAACTTCAACATTAGGGGTAGGACTATTAAAATGGTGCGATAACAAAGCAATAACCATGGCATCTAACTTCATTACTTCAGGAAACCCGGAAACTGTTTCTCGTTGGGACAAAAAAAACAAACAATATATTAACATCGAAAGACCAGAAATTATCAAACTATATAATAAATCCATGTTGGGAGTGGACAAACATGATCAACTAGTGAGTTATTATCGCGTGTACATGAAATCTCGAAAATGGACGCTGCGTTTAACTCATGCTTTTGATATGGCTGTGGCAAATTCTTGGCTCGAATATAAACAAGACGCAGAAAATATAGGAATATCAAAAAAAGATTAAAAAGATTTGTTGCATTTTAAAACTACTTTGGTTGAAGAGTCCAATGGTTGGACGATTCAGCCCCGGAAAAAAAGGGGTCGTCCAACATCTTCACCATCCAGTAGTACAAGATCTGCAGATAGTCGTTCACCAACACCTGCTAAAATATCGTCTAAAACATTGGAGTTTAGACCAACGGAAGGTGTAAGCAAAGATCTTTTTGGACATTTTCCCAGGTATGATGATAAAAAAGAAGCAACACGATGCAAAAATAAAAAATGTACAGGTAAAACACACGTTGTATGTAATAAATGTAAGATTCATTTGTGTTTTACACCAAAAAAAAAATTGTTTTTCTGATTTTCATTGTAATTAATTTTAATAAAAGTTTTATGTTTTTTTTTACATTTAGCATTATTATTGTATTATTTTATACCATAAATCCCAATGTCCATTCCAATGGGCATACCTGTAACTTTTTAGCAATAAAAAAAAAAAAAAAAAAAAATTGGTATATTATATTAAAAGGCCATATATTTCATATCTGAACAAAGAAAAATTTTTGTTTCAAAAAAATTAATTTGGTAGTGAAAGGGTTAACTAATTTTTGACCAAATTTTTCACACATTATTTGTACATGCATAAGATCAGATTTTGGGGGTCTCTGCTTCAAATTTTGAAACTTAAAAAATAAGGACCACCCTACTGAACATATAAGACGAACTTTAAATAATCAAAATAAAGCTCATTATCTGGGGAAAAATATACAAAATGAAATTATATATTAAATATCAAATTGTATGAAATCAAAGATACTAGAAATGATAAAAGAAGTTAAATATTACAGCATAAATTTGGACTGCACTCCTGATGTTAGCTACTCTGAACAAATGAACTTAATAGTTCGTTTTGGGTTAATCGATTTGAAAAATAAAGAATCAAATGTTAAAATTCATGAACATTTTCTAGGGTTTATACCAGTTGAAAGTAGTACAGGGATGAGCATAAGTGATATTCTTATACAGCAGTTACGTGATTTAGATATACCTATATTCCAAATATGTGAGGTCAAGGATATGATAACGGGGCTAACATGAAAGGTAAACACTTTGGAGTACAGCGTCGAATTAGAAACATTAATCCTCGAGCTTTATGTATTCCCTGCAGAGCTCATTCATTAAACCTTGTATAAATGGTGCAGTCAAATCATCAAGAGATGCAAATTTACAATTATTGTTTTTTTATAAATTTTGAAAATGGAAATAATGGCTAGCGAAAAAAAACAAAACTGTTATTATAAAATAAGGTCATAAGTTTAGGTTTCACAAAATGTTGAAAAATGAAGTACTGAGATTTTTAATGATCACAATCACAATAAACCTAGCGAACAAGACATCAACTGTCAAAAATTAAGTAATAATCTCAAAAGAAAAGCGATAGAAGAGATATCAATGTTGCCATCGAAACTTATTTGCAGAGAGTTAAAAAAACTCTGATATAAATAGTTTATCTTTAAATGATACTTCATAAGTAAAAAGAAATATAAGAAATGCGCGTTTATCTGTTCATCCCAACATACCAAAAAATATAACAGAAACGCATACTGCTATGAATGAAATTACATTAGTTACTAATAAAAATGAATCATTTTTATTAGTTAATGATTGTAATAATGGTATAACTGGGTTTTCAACAAAAAGTAATTTAGAAGTGTTATGCGAAATTAGTATAATATTTGTCGATGGCACTTTTAGAAGTTGTCCAAAATATTTTTACCAATTTTTTACTATTCACGGCCTTGTTGGCGAATCATATATTCCACTTGTTTTGTTTATTACCTAATAAAGAAACAGAAACATACGTACGTTTATTTGAACATACTGTAAATAGTTGTGCATAATATCAATTAATATTTTCTCCTGATGTGATATTTATAGACTTTGAAATTGCTATACATACTGCTGCAAAGCTTGTTTGGCCTAAAATCAATATAAAAGGATGTCGTTTTCACTTAGGACAAAATTGGTGAAAAATGATTCAGCTCTTGGTTTATTAAACACATACAACTCTTTGAACGCAGAAAAAAGCGATATTTTAAAATGTTTTTTTGGTTTGTCATTTTTAAGACCCGAAGAAGTTTGCGAATGTTTAGAACAAGATTTAATGCCAATACAACCAAATGATAAACAAATAAAAACATTTTGCGATTATGTACTAGATAACTACATTTATAGAATTTTATTATTATAAAAATTATGTTTTAATATTACACCATGTTAGGTAGGTAACTATACATTTTATATTATACTTGGAATTTCATATAAATAAACACGACTAAACTTAAAACGAACATATAACTAGCAGTTGATATATGGCAAACCGAGTTGGATGATTCGGGTAGACTCTCAGAACTAAAGCCCGGAATACACGAGGCTAGTTTTTCAAGCTAGGATAGCAAGGTAATACTAGTAAGCTAGAAAGCTAGTAATAATAGCTTTGTGTAAACAGAACTAGCTTTGTTTTTAAGCTAGCAAGCTAGGGAATATTTTAATAAGCTAGCGTGTCAAGCCAGGCTAGTTTAATAGGATTGCGTTCTATTTTTTTTGAGCTAGCACACCTCCCACCACTGAATTTACTATCCTAGATAGTGTTCTATCTCCGTGTAGACGGCAAAGCTAGTACATCATCGGCTAGAGCAGTGTTCACGCTTTTATTACGCCACGTGGTTTGTTAAATGTGAATCGGTATTGTTGTTGTAGGTTTTTTTATACGCCAAAATGCCAAAATTAAGTGGTGATCTTAATTTAAAGTTTGTAGAATTATATCGCGAAGAAGAATGTTTATGGAATGCCAGTATTCCATCATATAAAAATAAATCTATGCGTGATACATCACTACAAAAAATATGTGCAGAATTGAATACAATCGGCATACAAATGACAGTTAATGAAGTAAAAAATAAAATTAAAAATTTAAGAGCAACATACTGTCAAATGTTGTCAAAAATTGAAAAATCAACCAGGTCCGGTGCAGGTGCTAATGAGGAGTATAAACCTAAATTGAGTTGGTTCGAGGAAATGCATAGTTTTATAAAAAATGTTCCAATGAAAAGAAAAACAATCGTAAGTTATATTTATTTTGTAAATAATTAATAAATTAATTAAAATAAATTAAACTACCTATTTAATTATTAATTCATTTATTATTATTCTTAATATTAAATATTATTTACAATATTATTAATATTCATATCATATTTCCTTGCCATGGCACCGCACCCTCGTTGTTAAAATAGTCTTTAATGGTTTCTCTTTTTTGGACTGCTGAAATCGAAGGATGGTTACTTCCTTGTCGACATAAGTTTTCTAAGCCTGTAGTTTCTGTTCTCTATGTACCATGAATAATATTTCTTGCCTCAATATCTTCACGGTCGACATCACAGTGCGTTATATAATTATTTCGTTTTTCTTTTCGTAACCAATTATGCAAAGCACATGCTGCTAATACGATTTTATCCACTGTATTCACATCAGTAGCGATAGGTTTTTGAAAAATACGAAATCGGCTTACTAATATTCCAAAAGCATTTTCAACTATTCTTCTAGCTCTGGATAGTCGATAGTTGAAAACTTTCTGAGCCACTGTTAAATTGTCACCTGGGTAAGGTTTCATCATATATGGTTTTAACGGAAATGCACCATCGGCAACAATCACTCCACCATTTGGTAAAAGATTATTCTCTAGTTTATTATAAATAGAGCAATTTCTAAATACACTTGCATCTGATGCCATGCCACATGCACCGACATCAATATATCGGAAACAATAATCGTCATCTACTATTGCCATAAGAACAATACTGAATACTTTTTTGTAATTAAAATATATAGTGCCACTGTTGTCGGGAGCTACAATTTGTATATGTTTTCCGTCAATGGCGCCATAACATAGTGGAAAGTTCCATCTGTTTTTAAATCCATTTTCTATTTCCGCCCATTCTTCGTTATTTGTCGGGAGCTGTAAATATTACAATTAATGAAATCCAAAGTAAAATAATGTATATTATCGAATATATATATTAATATTAATTTTTTAAATTGTGTGTGTATGTTTATACTTCAATGAAGACAATTTTTTTAAAAAATTTTAGGACAGTCAAGAGTTAGAAACAATTGAAGAAATTTTAGATAACAGTGATGCCAATATTAATAGTGAAGATAATATTGAAAATAATGAGGGCAATGGCAATATTGAAGGGCAAATGTAAACTGGGCCCACGATTACCTTTTTTGTTGTAAACTCCGGTACGCTGATTTCAGTTACGTGGTGCTAACACTAATCCATAACAATTAATCAACCATTGCTTATTCTGAATCTTTTGTTTGTAAGTCTACGCTTAATCCATTTGTTGTATATTTCATACCAAACGTATTTATGGAATCATCCATATATATTTAATGTTTGAAGCTAAAATAAAGTTACAAGCGGTAGATGAATAGCTTTTCAAAATGCTATTAACGGCAATGGTTTAAGCTACAATTAATAACGCTATTTTCAACAACGTGTTTTAAACATGAAATATATGTATTTGTAGTTTTTCAGTTAATAATAAAAACAAGTGAATACTTGTGACCATTGCTGCTGACCATGTATTGTAAACATTTGTTTTAAAAACTTAGTACAGTATGAACGTTGAAGTCAATATATATATATTTTGATGTTACCAAAGCGTTTTAAATTTTATCACAGCTAAAAATAATAATTTTTCTAGCTTATCATTAGTAACAAAATTTGTACTTCTATTTGTTACTATTTCCATACTCTGTCCTCATTGTACTTCATCGATGATTTTGGTAGTGCAGGCGTGATTTTCTTCTAGCGTTGTACATATTCCTCTTAACATACCGAATATCAGTTACTTGCAGGTCACTTGCGTCAGTACGTACTATTTACTGCACTACAAAGATTTTACTATTTGACCTGTACAGATATTCCTCAGTTGCTGCGGGCGGCCTCGGTGGTAACACATTATCACGTTAAAGTGATGCTGGTCGCTGATAGGTTCATGCAAATGATTATCATTTTCTCCATAACCTATTATTTATTCCAAATGTTTTTAAAAAGCTGTACATTGCAGGTTTATGTTATGGTTAATTTCTGACTAACGGACGAGTTACTTTAGAATCATTATTTCTAAGACTAAAGTGGTTGTACGTTGGGATTCAACTATGCGTGCATCGTTACGATTGTAAAACACTACTGATACAGGTGGTACATCTTTTCAAAATCAACACAAAATGAAATTATTTGTATCATGTTTAAATATATTTTAACATTAGTTTAGATACGTTAGATACGTTGACCAGTTGCTGGTTAGAATATGTCATTAACTGTTGCAATATTTTATCGCTAATAGCCTAAGTATCGGTGAATTACAACGGATATTTTATCATCAGAAATTTCCGACCGAGGTTTACATTCTACCTAATTTATCACTAATTTTGGAGCC